TAATTAATTCTAACATAATACAAGTATATAAAAACAACAAATGTAAAATTGCATTTTTAAATAAATTTTTCTAATAAAATAAATTTTGACTAGCCAAAATTTTGGTATCGGTCTTGGTAAAATATTTGCCATAATGTCAGTTTCGCACTGAATTTGAGTACCTGAAAATTCCGTTTCAGCTTTTTTTATGTTTCAGTTAATCACTAATATATATATACATAAATACATAGACACATATGCAAATAGAGCCCTCAAAATTTAAAAAAAAAAAAAATCGCTAGACCTTAAACTATTTTTGATCGGCATCAGGTCAGCACAAAATTTAAAAAGGTTTCATCATAACAACTTAGAAACCAGGTCAGCAAAAAATTGGCGACCTCAGACACTTTTAGGTCAGCAGTAAGGACACCATTGCTAAGTGCCAAACCTAATTCAGAAGGTGCTAACATGTCTATACTATAATATTAATGAGAATTGTAAAAAACTATGTTTAAAAAAGTATTTACCATGCTGTTTTATGATAAATCAATGAAAAGATTTTTATGAAACTATAAAAAAAAAAATCTTAAATAAAAATCATTTAAAGAGCAAATATAAATAATAACTTATATAAACAATTTTAATAATACCAAAAGTTTCTATTATTATTATTATTATTATTATTAATATTGAATAAAAATTTTTAATCACAGTCTAATAATTAATTGTAATAAATTTGTAAATGAAATTTAAAACAAAGCTAAAATAAAACTTCTAAAATAAATTATTTGATTAAAGGCTTTATTTAACAAAAAACATAAATATCATAATAAATAACATGAAAAACATAGCTATATATTTAACAAAAATTTCAACGTAAAAAAGCTAAAAAAGAAAATTGGAGAAAAGAATAAAATAATAAAAAAATAATTTAATAGCTGAAGAATATAATTAAAAAAACATAAATTTAAAAACAGAAAAATAAATAGCGAAACAAAAACAAAAATATCATACAAAAAATATTAAAAAAAAGAAAACACTGTAAATAATAACAGTAAAAATTTATTTCATATTTAAATTAATAATTATTTAAATTATTTGTTAAATCTCAACTTATTATGGTGCTTTGATAGGATGCTTTGTACAAGTAGGGTAGGCTATAGGATGTTTTATACTCGTAGATCTTTTCTTTTTCTTCTTCTTGCAAACAAAAGGTTCACCTCTAATTTCTGAAAGAAGATTTTTTCTTTTAAGTTTTTTCTTTTTCACTTCTGATTTCATACCCCCAATAAATTTTATGTCTTTGCTTAGAAAATCTTTTGTTTCATGTAGTTCATTCCCTGTTTGTGGATTTTTAAATTCATTTACAAGATTCACATCATGATGATTCGAACGCTCAAAAAGAGCAACAAAAAATCCATTTGTATAATCAATTGTAGGAACAGCACGTATGCATTTATAAGCTAAAAACAAAATTTTCACAAACAAATAATAAAAATAACTATTTTTAAACAATTAATACAAAAAATAATCTCACCTTGTTCCCATTCCCCTAAACCTCGGTTTGACCATTCAGGAAAAGCATGGCATAAATGAAAAGTTTCTTTAAAGCGATTATAGGCTTTTTCAACCACATCTTCATTTTCCTGAAACCATTAAAAAATTGTATTAATTAAAGTTATTAATAAAAAAAGGTGCTAATAATAAAAATATTAACAATAAAAAAAAGTTTCTAAAGTTTCACTTTACAGTAACTTGTCTAACCTACTTTAAAGTGTATGTATTACAAAGTTAGTGTAAGTGAATGTATTTTTATACACATAAAAATATTGCGGATTTAGGTTGGCATATTAACTAATATAATCTGCATACTTTAATATAAATGTTTTTTTTTCATAATAAAAATATGCATGGACCAAACACAAAACCTCAGTTGATATATTTACAAAGTTTCAAAAGATGGCTTCAATATGACATTATCAGCGTTATATATATATAAAAAAATATATATATATATATATATATATATATATATATATATATATATATATATATATATATATATATATATATATACATATATGATCAATGACAAAGAGTTTTTTGGGGATACCCCCCAGTGACGGTGCCGCATCTATGATTTTTAAATATTGTGTTCATATTTTTTACATTTTTATTATTGCGTTTACCTTCTTTATTATCCGAAAATAAGTAGTCGATTTAAAAGAGTATCTCATGTGAAAGACATTTCTTTGAATATGTTATTTAGTGGTAGGCAAACTATTTTATTTAATATTATTTTATTTTATTTTAATAAAGTTTTAAGTTGCAAATACTAAATTATTTGGCAATACTAATTGAAATTTGTTTAAAGCATTTCAAAAATTAGATATATTTTAGTAATTTTAATTTTTAGTTGTTATTAAATGCTAAAAACATTTTGAATAGTTTTTATAATTATTAAAATCATAAAAAGCGTAATATCTCCAAAATTAAAATAATAATTATTTAAACACCTTTTTGCCTTGTTTGCCTTTATTCGCCTTGTTCAAAAATTATTTTCTATATATAGTATAATTTATTACATAGGGAATAACTATTGGAATACAAAACATAAGCATTTAGTAAGTGTATTTATTATCATTTTAATTTTTATTTCAATTTAAATGTTAGCAATTCTGTTCATTTAACTTTTACTAAAAGTTATTAATTTTTACAATTTCAAGATGCCTTTAAAAATTAAAAAGTTTGAAAATAACTAAAACTTAATAACTTCAAATAAAAAAAAAAATGTTTTATTTTGATGTTTTGTTTTCCTAAAGTTAAATAAAAAAGATAGCTAAACATCAAAAGATCACTTATTCAAAAATTAAATTTAATAATTTAGCAATCAAGAAACTAAGGAATGTTATTAAGGAATTTTGACTTATGTTCATTTATTATTAAAAAACCTTTTAATTGATTAAAAGTTAACTAAAGTTAACTTGACCCAAAATTTGCTTAATCTTTTGAAATAACAAATTTCTCATACGTTCGATTGTCTTCAAATTGAATTTCATTTTTAAACTTTTCAGCTTTCTTTTTTTTTAATCTAACGTTCTACTAATAAATGAATGAACAGTTTTAAAAACTAAACGAGTTACGGAACATAATTACTTTTTAATTCATTTTATTGATCTAAAGAAAAAATGAAAACAAAAAAATAAACAGAATATTAGTTATTTACTACTCCATTTGAAACTTTTTTCCTATTTTATTTAAAAAAGCAAAAGAAAAACAACAAACAAATATTTTTGGGCACTCATACCGCTCAAGCAGTCCCATAAAAGGTCTGGGTTCATCCCTGATAATATAAACACACATATATAATATAAATACAAATACAAAACCATATATATATATATATATATATATATATATATATATATATATATATATATATATATATATATATATATATATATATATATATATCAACACATACTTCTTTGTGAACAGAGCAAGTAGAATAAACAACTTTCTTCACATTTGGAAATTGTAATGCATGACTCAAAGCAGCAGTTTGAAAGCCGGAAAGTGCCTTTAATCTACTATCATTTGTCTAAAAGTTAATTATTATGCTGTTTAAGTACCAAATTTTACTATATACATAGCCAGGCATCTAAAGCAGTTTACAGGTGCAATTTTTTCTCAAAAATCATTGTAACAAGAATAAAAAAAAAACATTGTAATTAAAACTAAAAAAAAACAGTCATTTTAATAACTATTTTGAATAATTTTTAAAATGCCTGCATTCTATTGCAATAAGAAAATAGAAAACTTTTTTTATTTATATTTATGAATATATTCTTGTAATATTGACATAACTCACATAGGCTTGACTTCAATAGCAATACTTTTAAGTGGAATAACTAAGTACGCTTTCAAAGAAAGTAATTAATGTCTGTTCACAAAAAATCCGGAATGAAATATTGTTCTTAATTGAATACAAAATTAATTGATTTTTGACAAAAATTTTAACTAAAATGAGAGACTAGACATCGTTAACTATTTTATAACCAAAAGTGGTCCTGAATCAGCGGCTTTTCGAACTTTAGCTTTGACTGAATCCATTAGGTTGAAAAAAGTAGTCTGGATTGAACTCTTTCAACTTTAATCGAATTCTATTCTTAAGGTGGTCAAGATTTTTTGCAGTAAATCCATTTCCATAAACATTTGCTTTTAAATGTGCCCAAAAATTTTCAATTGGCCTTAACTCCGGTACATTTGGGGGGTATTCTTTAGCGTCAACAAAATTAATACCTAAAGTGTTTTAAGTTTCTAATGTGTGTTTTGCATAATGACATCTTGCTCCGTCAGGCCAAAATAAAATTTTCATGTTTTGATGCTTGGAATTTATAAATGGATGAAGTTTTTTTGTAATACATTCTTTAGAATAAGTTTTTGCATCCAGTGCACAGTTTTTTACAGCAAAATAAGGCGATGAATGACCGAAACAACTGATTGCAATCTAAAAGAGAACTTTCTTGTCAAACTTTTTTTTTAAGTTGAATTTAATGTTAGGATCAGTTTGAGAACTATCCTTTGTATAGTAGCCAGAGTTTTGTGAACAAATTTCAACCATTTACACAGAAATAAGATTCATCGTCCATGATGATTTCAAACTCATTTGATGGCTTGAAAAAAGTTTTTGAAAGTTTTAATAAGTTTTTCTTTTGTTTAATTTATTGCTTTTCTGCTGTTTTTAGTGCATTTTTTCTTTTGGTATACTTCAGTCCATGCATACTTAATAATCTATTTACATATGAAACGCTTATCTTATATTTTAGTGCCAATTTTCTTTGCGAAATCCCGATTCTCTCTTCTGCTCTTGCAATCATGGACTCTATCTTTTCTGGTGTGATTTTAAAAGGTTTTCTGCCGCAACCGATTTTTCTTTTCATTGGCAAATTATTGTCTGACCTTTTAATTATGTCATAAATTGTAGATTTAGCGATTCCCATTTTCTTAAAATGATCCACTGTAAATTTCTTTCCACTGTTTATGTTTTGTTTATAAAATTTCCAATCACATTTCTAACATCGTTCTCTTTTAGATGCTCCATGTTTATTTGAATTAATTATTTAAACTCAATTTTGCCAAAAAATGAAACTGTTGTTGTTGACCGATTAAATTTAAAAATTTCGAATCGAAAATTCAAAATTTAGAACAATTTGTGTACATTTGAAATCAGTCCGGATTTTTTGTGAACAGACGTTATGTTTTAGGATGGTTTTTACATGTTAACAAAAGCATCCAAAATTTTAGTTAAAATGAATGAAATTGTAATTACTTTAAAAGAAACCATGTTTAAACATTATTGCTTTTTTAGTATGCTTTTTTTTTTAACTTGCTAATTTTTTTTAAAGTAAAGTAAAATTTGCATGTTAAAATGTTGCACTTTAAAATGTTTGAAACGAATTTTCAAGTTTAGAATTAATATATTATATATGTTATATAAGTTTAGAATTAATATAAAATATATTAATTCTAAACTTAAAAATTCTTTTCAAACATTTTAAAGTGTTTTAACATGCAAATAAACATAACTTCACTTTAAGAAAAATAAGCAGGCCTTGTTTTAAAGTGTTATGCCTAGAGCAATTTACGTACGCCTTAAAGGGATCCCAAACTCCCAACACATGTGTTCATATTAAAGATATATTAAAAAAAAAGGTTTGAACCAGATTTTTTTGATTAAAAATAAATAATGAATGCATACTGTGAAAAACAAATGTTGTTGTTTTTGCAGAAGCTCGTCTTCTCCATTTTTTTCAACTACTCGGAGTCTTCAAATTATGCGTCGCAATCTACAGACTTTGGCAATTCCTTTGAAGCGCGTTTAATTTACATAAGTTTTAGTATTTGACGTCACGGTAGACTTTTAACAAAAGAAACTCTGGAAATATTTTTATTTATTTTTAGTCAAAGTTTTTTTGGTTATTTGTTAGTTGTTTTTTTTTTCTACTTTTAATATTTAAAAAGATATTAAAAACCTTAAATATTTTATGCTGGTTCGTTGCTATAAATTGTTACTGCGCCATATATTTAATGTTTATAAATTATGAATATTTATTATCTCAATCAAGACTCTGATAAAAAATTATTTTACATTAATTACCCGTATAAAATTAGTAACAGCTTTTTTATTTGGTTAGATGATATTTCGTTTTAATTTGCTTTGCATGAAGTTCGGAAAGTCAAACGTAAAAAATAAGTTTGAATAATCACGTCGAAATATATTTAAAACAAATTATTTTAATGACAAATGTATTTTTATAACAAATGTAGGTAAAAAAATAAATAACTAAATAAAAAGTTCAGTATTAAACACCATTTCTTTATTATATTGCAACTGTAAATATTAAACTATTAACTTGAACTAAATTTACTTATTATTTAGAACGACTAAGCAATAAAAATAAAATGCCCCTAAAATTATGCGAGATTGTGTTGTTTATTTGATAACTGTTGTTGGTAATGTTGTTTATGTTGATTATTTTCATAAATATCAAAATAGTTCTAGATTAATCTGTCCGTTGCTTTGCTCATTGTTGATTTATTTCTAATTTAATTCTCAAACTATAATTATATGTTAAAAAAGAAAAGTTTTTATTTCATTGGGCGCTCTTTTTATAAAGAGTAGAACAAAAGAGAAAGAAAAGTTTCGGGCAATTAAACTTTGAATGAATAAGAGTTGTATAGAATATATATATTTTTTGCGTCACTCGTTCTTTTTTTAGATGAGAGAAATAAAAGTTTAATAATAAATTTTCTTTGAATAAATGAGAATTGGAAGAGAAAATTGCTTGAAAATTTGTTAATTGTGTTTTTAAAAATTTTTAATTTTTCATGTTAAGAGACAAATGCCAATTACGACACAAATTTAGAAATACCAAATATAATATGTTTTTTAATGCGCGTTATGACATTTTAACAATTTAAATTACCATCTATCTTGAATTAATGCCTTTAATTAATGTGTTAATTATTGCGTTATTTAATAATAATTTGCCCGTATTTTTGTTAAATATTAGTTGTTTAAAACGGGCAAAAATATACAAACTTCATGTTTTTTATTTGATGTTTATAAAATACTGAACAGTAAACTTATAATCAAAATTTATAATGCCGACTTGTGTTGCAATTAATTGTACTTTTAATGCAAAATCAGGATCTCACACATCCTTTCACAAATTTTCATATCTGATACTATGGTCAACTGTATTGTTTAGTGTATTCTTGTACTTTTTTTTCATAATCTTAACAGGTTCTAATTGGTATGGAGTTGCTGACATTTTAAAAATTTCATTATCAAAAATCAAATGTATAATGTATTTCCTTTTTATCCGTATCCAATTCAACAAATTTAGCAATTTAAATTAAATCAGCGTGATCAAAAAAATTTTATAATAAAAAAAGTTAACAATTCATTAAATATCTCTAATTAATACTGTCAGTTTATGAAAGTAATTGTTAATAAATACTTTTTTTCAACGGGAAAACAAAAAATTGTCATAGCGTAAAAATAACCAGAGAAGTTAGAAAATAGTTCCCATTGTTTAAATAAAAATAATTAAGAATCAGAATATATAATACTGCGCTCTCTTGCGCAAAAACAAGAGACCGTATATAAAACGTTCTATAAAATGTAAAATACTTGTATGAAAATCATGAGATTGGTAAGTGAAGCTTTAATATTTGTTTTAATTTAAATAATTAAAGAAATATAAGTAAGATATATAAATCTAAAAATTATTAAGATATCTGTAAAAAATAAGTTGCTCCTATAAAATAAAAATAATTTATTGTTTTTACTTTTTACAAAATTTTTTTTGCGATGTTTGGAAAAATAATACAAATAAATTTGTTTTGCTGTATGTTAAAAAAATACTATGGTAGAAAAACGCAGCTTAGTTTAATTACACTTTTCTTTTGTTAAAAGTCTACCGTGACGTCAAACACTAAAACTATTATGAATTAAACGCACTTCAAAGGAATTGCTAAAGTCTGTAGATTGCGACGCATAATTTTAAGACTCTGAGTAGTTGAAAAAAATGGAGAAGACGAGCTTCGGCAAAAACAACAACAATTGTTTTTCACGGTATGCATTCATTATTTATTTTTAATCAAAAAAATTTGGTTCAAACCTTTTTTTTTAACATTATCTTTAATATGAACACAACATGTGTTGGGAGTTTGGGATCCCTTTAAGCGATTTTGACATAGGCATAGAGCGATTTTGGTTAAGCTACTTTTTATCATTTTTTAACTTTAAAATTAGCGGTAACATTAAAGTTGTAATTAATTTTTAAAAAAACCACATTAACTTTTGAATAACAATATGTAAAAATATTTGTTAAAAAGAAGTTGCATTAAAAATAATTGTAGTAACTGTTCATAACGATATATCAAATTTATTGATGAACAACTTTTTTTATTACCTATTTTCTTATTTGTTAACTTTATTATCAGTAGTATTGTTATATTTAATTTTTAAATTTTTATATATTTTTTATTATGATTATTATTTTCATTATTATTGTATTATACAATTAAACTAATAAATTAAATTAATAATAACATTGTATCAATGTTTAACTTTATTGTCAAGTTTCAATTCATTTTTTGTAGCTCCTATTAACTATTATACATGATGTTGCTATTTGTAGGATTTACATTTCAAGATTTCTAAGTAAGATTACTCTATCAGTAAATATAAATTAATAATGAATTTTTGAAATTAGGCATTTATACCATAATGCTTTGTTACGAGTGGTTGTTACTGTGGTTATCAGACAAAAATAGAAAATAATATTATAATCACAGGTATAAATAAACTAAAAAAAAAAGAATAAAAAACAAAAAGACGCACAAAAAAAAAAATTACTGTTGATGTTTTGCACAGAAATTTCTGTATCAATAATCTCGAAAATAAGGTTTCTCAAACAAAAAAGCTTTTTAACTTAATTGTTGTTGTTGTAGTTTTTTTTTTTTTAATTTTCTATTATGTAAAAAAATTTTAATGTCTAAATTAAACTGTTAATATTATAGAAAAGCAAAAAGAATATCAGGTTTTTCCAAGTATGTAAAACATTTTTATGCAAATTCTTATAAAGTCTTTGATATGTAAAATAACCAAATAAATTTATTTTTATTTATTAATTTAGAAATAAAATAATTCATTTCTAAATTAATAAATAAAAATAAATGAAGTAATAATAAATAAAGTAATAAATAAATGAAGTAATAAATAAAACATTAATAAAAGTAATAACTGTATTTAACTAAGAATATTAAAAACAAAATATTAACATGTAATAATAAAAAGTAAAATGCAACATGAATAAGTTTTCATATACAAAGTTGAACTTGAGCTTGATTTTTTTTTTGTGTTTACCTTTCTATAGATAAAAATGAGCATGGAGGAGAAGGCTAATTATTTTTTAAGTTGTTGTTCCTATTTTCGACTTTAAAATTATAAAACACAGACCTTGATGAACAAGGTTGAGAAACAGCTGAGTCAAATACTACTAACAAAATGAATTCAAACATAGTACTTCATGCTTACGCAGCAAATGCTTCTCCACTACCAAAAAAATAAATTTAATTTTATAAACTAATAAAACTTTATTACTTTTTTCTTTATAACTTTTTTTTTCGATTTTTAATTTAAAAATAAAATACTATTATTATTAAAAAAATATTATACCCTTGCCTGTTGCAAATTATAAAAATGGGAATGTTAACTTGTAACTCCCTATTTAAATTATTATTATATAATTTGACTTATTGAAACTTTAAAATCTTCTTACAAAAGTCGATTCTTCATTATCTAAAAATTCATCCATTCTTGAAACAATTCCACTACCTGAGCAAGATGGATCCAACAAAATATATTCTACTTTTGAGTATAAAGGATGACAATGTTGCACCTACAATAGCAAGAATAAATGAAAATTCAAAATAGTCAACACAAAACAACATAAGTTTAAAAAAAAAAGTATACAGAATATCAATAAAATGACTACCCTAAGAAAATCTTGGTGTTTTGTTTTTACAGATGTACATGCAGATTTTTTCAGCAACTTTTGCATAAGTTTTAAACGATTAAAATCCAAGTCAAATGAAAATATATGACTAAAAATAAAGATTTCACATTCCTAAAAATCTTCACATTCCTAAAAAGTATTTTATATATATATGTAAATAATAAAATATTTTATGAATCATTATGATTTTTTGCCATTTAATAATTACATAAATAATTATACAAATAATTATATAACTGTCATTATATAATTTTGTTAAATTAATGTTGCACTTTTCAAATTTTTTTTAAACAAAATAAAAACATCTTCTTGGGAGATTTTGCTAATTTTCAAATGAAACACCCTGTAAAGGTGTTTATAACAGTGCGTAAACAAGATGCAATGGTATAACCCTTATAAACACTACATGTATATAAACATTTATGTTATTTTTATTGTTTATGATATTTTTTATCCAACATGTTAAATAAGCTATATATATGCAAATATATGCAAGCAGGAAAATATTTTAATATTGGTTCTTCAATAGAAAACTTTGTTGTTTGAAATCAAATGAATTTTAGATAAGATTGAATATTATGATTTTATTACTCAATTTTTATGTAACATATATATATATTTTAAGAACCATTAGAATATGAACCATTAGAATAAAAATATTTATTTATGAACCATTAGAATAAAAAAGATTATTACAATATATATTATAGGTATAATTAGAACATATATTTTAATCAGTTAAATTTTTTATTAAAATTATTTTATTTAAAAATAAGAAAATTGTTAGATGAAAATTTTAATTAAATAAACTTGATAAGAGTTAGATTTCATTTAAAACATACACAAGCGATTCTGCTACATTCTGATACCTACATACACAAGTGATATTCTTCTGCTAGCTACATATACAAGTGATATCCTTCTGCTACCTACATACACAAATGATATCCTTCAGCTAACTACATACACAAATGATATTCTTCTGCTACCTACATACACAAGTGATATCCTTCTGCTACCTACATATACAAGTGACATCCTTCTGCTACCTACTACACAAGTGATATCCTTCTGCTACCTATATAAAGAAAAAAAGTGTATTATATTTAAGGAAAAACCAGAATAAGTAAAGTTGGTCATATAGTTTGTGGACCACATTTTTTAAGATAGAAATCAACCCTTGTCCATCTGGCATTTGTGGCACTTGTTAAAATTTTGGACTTCAGAAAGATAAAATAAAACTTTAATGTAACTTGCATCTTTTAGCTCGATATAAAACAATTCAACTAGTTTGTAGTTTTATAGAAAGATTTGAGCATTGGTAATCAGTGAAAGAATCCTGGAAAAAAGAAAAACGCTTTACAAAAACTGGGAAGAATAGGTGTTATAGATAAATCATTGTGTGGATGTCCAACTTACAGGCTTGGATAAAATACAAGAAGCCATAAAAAACTTGACCTATCAGAATTAATAAAACTTCAAATGAACTAAAGAATTCTGTAGACCTTGGTGAACCAATTTATGAGGAATGTTCAAGAGAGCAACTACAACTTAGGAAATTCAAGAGAGAAACTACAACTTAGAAAATTCAAGAGAGAAACTACAAATGAGGAAGTTCAAGAGAGCAATTACAACTTTAAATTATGAACTTGAGATGACAAAATTGACATGACAAAATTTACAAAATAAAATTGAGATGGCAAAATTAAATGAACTGAATTTTTATGTGGCAGCAGATTTCAAGTTAATCAACAGTATGTTAGGTCTGTCAGAAAGTTATTTTATATGATTTACCAAAACATTTTATTTTTTCAACATTGTTAGAAATTTTGATTTTTTATTAATAGGAGGATGGCAGATAGTTTGCCTGCTGCTATTGTGAAGGAACAAAAGAAGAATCTACAGTTCAGATAAGAACATTTTAAAGCCTTAATGATTGGTATCTTAGGGATTTTTCAATAAATTACGCAACGCTAAATTTATTTAAATAACAGAAGTAGGAGATCTTAAGCTCTTTTACAAAGTGATTTTCATTAAACTTAAAGCGCTACTTGGATTTTTTATTTAACTTTTGACCTTTTTTGTTTTGTTTATAAGTTAAATTTAGCATTGTGTAATTGATGGACCATCCCTTAAGTATGTTGAAGAGAGGCAGTAGTAAAAGTACATGCAAATTTACAAAAATATTGATGGTCCATGTTTTCTCCAAGAAAATCTAGAGACACTGGTAATTGACATAGTACAACCTCCTGAACTGCATTTATATGAGCATAAAATGAGTGAAATTTTAGGAAACTCTTCAGTCCTAATGGCTGAAGAGTTTACTAAAAATTGATAAAAATGATAACCAGATACAATAAAGGAGGGCATGATGGACCTAACTGTCACAAATTTGTTCAGATGAACTTAGAGATTTATGTCCACCACATATTATACCTCACATTAAAACATTGAGGAATTTTAGAAAAGGTTTAATTAACTAATTAATTAATAAAGAATAAAATATATAAAAATATATGATAACAAATTTATTAAAGTCTAAAAACATTTGATAATAGTTTTAAAATCTTTGCTTTTTAGTCACTAAAAGCTGTTTTTAAATAAAACTATCACCAGATTTTAGAAAACAAAGCAAAAAGTTTGTGCAACTTAGAAAACTATCCCAAGAATCACACAAATAATTCTATCAGGCTGGGTGGGAAATTCCCTATTATACAAGTGCATCTCAGTTCTTTTATTAAAAAAAAACCCATAGAACTTAGGATGTTTTTAGTGAACAAACCTCTTACACAAAAGTCTGACACAAAAACATAAACAAAACAAAGAAGAAGTTTGCAATGCCAGAACTTAATAAATCGCACAGAAATTGATGAAAATGACAATCACATAATCAAGAATGACGATCTCTATAGTCACCAAACATTCTTCATTAAAAATAGGAACATGCGCATAATTATGAAGATTTTTTATTACATAAAATATTAATAATTATTGTAGCCAATTTGTTTTTATGTAAAGATGTTTTTAGTCTAACTACTTTTTCTAAATATTTATGAAGATAACAAATGAATTGATCAATTTTGTTTATTTTCTGTTGAAAATTAAGATTTTTCAAAAACTTTTTCAAACTGTTCTAAAAAAAGACTTTCATGAACTGTTCTAGAGAGCAGTTTAAGAAAGCTTTTCCAAGAATATGCCGTTTTTATTTTGTCTTTATCTGTTTTCTTGTTAGGTTTACAGTCTATTAATTCCCAAATATTTTTGCATTCAACTCAAAATGCCTATATTGATGCATATCATTAGCATAAAAAAGTTGAGTAATCTATAATTATGTATAATTGATGCATTATTAGTGTTTTTTTTTTCATTAATGTTTTTACATTTTAGAATGTAAAATATTATAAAGTGATGAAAATAATAAATCTTTAGAAATATTACTATATCGGAAAAAAGACATGGAAATGATACATAATAGAGTTTTGTTGTTAATGTCCTATATAGTTAAAAAAAGACATGGAAATGATACATAATAGAGTTTTGTTGTTAATGTCCTATATAGTTAAAAAAGATATGCAGCACAGTTTAAAAACAGAGAAGTCATAAAAAAGAGATAATAACAGTGACAGAATGAAAAAGTGCGATGGTAAGTTTTGTTATTTTCAAGACATATTTTAGTGGATCAGAAGATCAAAAGCAATAAAAAGTTTCTGAGCAAAGTTTGGAGAACTCCAATAGGTTTTAATATGATCTAACAGAAAGATCTTAACTATTAAAGATTAAAAAAAAAGATGAACATCAAATACTTCTAGAGTGTATGGCAATAAAAAATGTCTTAAAATCTTGATGATAATAATGATGATGATGCTGATGATGATGTTGATGATGATGTTGTTGTTGATGATGATGATGATGATGATGATGATGATGATGATGATGATGATGATGATGATGATAAGGAGGAGGAGGAGGATTGTAAACAACTATTAGTGGTTCTCTCGTCTCTTTTTCATCCCCTTCTCTTATGTTTGTGTTTGGAAAAATCTCTCATTTTATTTTGATGAGACTAAGCAGGAAATCACTCAAGATACAGAAGCTAGAGTGATACAAATGTCAAGCAATGGATCAACCTGTTTGCCAGATAGATCAGGTAGGATGTAATTAGTGAAATCAAGAGATGAGATTGATGAAAAGTTCTAAGCCAATAATTTAGCTTTGTCTTTAGTTGAGGTAACAAAATAACCATGCAAGAAATAAATAACAAGCTTGCCATTATTATAGACACAGTTAAAGAACCTCCAGAAATCTCTGAAGCCTAATTTTTGAGATAAAATACGAGATTTTGTGACCTTAGAATAACGGGCTTTAGCATTAGACAAAACCTTTTTACAATGGTTTCTAGTAATAGTAAACAGACATCTGTTTTCTGGAGAATTATTTTGGCAATAGATATGGAAGTAATGGTTATGATTAGAAACTGCAGCAGCACAATGAGAGGAAAACCATGGAGAAAAGCAACACTAGACTTGAAATAATCGAGAGGAAATAAAAGATTCTATGCCAGCTTGAATCAAAGAAGTTATGTAAGAAGCATATTTGTCAGCAGGAGCACAAAAGATTTCTACCATCACAAATAAAATCAAAGTCCCAGTCTTCTTTAATGTAGTTGTAAGAGGTACAATGATAGGGGGATTTTGATGATAAAGAAGAATGAGATAAAAGTTTTAGAAGGATCAAACTGTGACCAGAAGCACCTAAAGGTGAATGTGGAGAAACTGAGGTCTTACTATGATTAGAAACAAGACATAAGTAGAGTAGAGAAGGTAAATGATTTAGATTGTCTGGAAAGCAAGTTGGAAAGTTGACTTTTTTTATTAGAGATTGAGAAAGGCAAAAGTTGTGGGCCTTAACGCCTGCAAAGTCACTGACACTTGAGCAAATCTACTCAGTTTGGTGAAAAATAAAGTTGCCAACAACTATAATATTGGCTAAACGATAAATGAGAAAAGGACTTGTCAATTTGATCAAAAATAACGTCGAAAAAAATGCTTGAGATAAGAAGAGATAAGAAGAGCGATATTTTGAGATAAGGAGCAATATCTTGAGATAAGGAGAGCGATATAGTTTTGAGATGAGAGCGCTTTCTTTATAAGCAGGAGATCCAGGTTTGAAACAAGCTCTTATATAGAACAAAGAGAAAGGTGATAGAGTGAAGTGGTGCTAAACAAAAGTACATAAAAAATATTCTGTAGATTCAATTCTATTGGAGTCTTTTCAAATTAAAGGAAAGTAACCATTAACACTATGATCACTAGATGAGACAGTTAAACACAAATCAGCCTCACAAATAGCAAGTAGATCTGGTGAACGTTGCAAGAGATAAGACTTGAAAGAAGAAAAATTACTTTGAAGACCACAAATATTAGTAAATGATAGATTTAGAGATTATATATTTTATATATTACAATTTTTGAAAATTTTAAAAAATTATTTTAGGTTTTTTTTTTCTTATTTTATGCGACTGTAATTTAATATTATTTTAATTAAATACAGAGTTAAAATTAAAGAAAAAGAATGCAATAGAATTCTGAGTTTTATATTTTTCATGTAATGTTATTTGTTTGTTTAATGTTATTAAATTTAGAAAATTTTAAAAATGTAATTATATATATATTTTTTTGAAATTTGATTTGCAGAATCTTAATTTTTTCTTTTTTTTTTTTCACTAACACATCACATAAAAATATCACAACACACTCCAACACATCTAACACATCACAACACACTCTAACACATCACAACACTCTCTGATATATCACATCACACTCTAACACATCACAACACTCTCTGATACATCACAACACACTCTAACACATCTAATACACTAACACATTACTAACAACAAGTCTAAAAAACATTTTTTTTGCCAAAAAATCTAAAAAAACAAAAGCATAAAAGACCTATGCAGGTTTCCAGTATAAGAAAGATTTTTCTGATGCTGGAACTTTATTATTTTTTTTTTATTTTTCATCATTTTCTAATAAAAAATTTCAAATAAGATCAGTATTTAATAAAAAAATAAATTAAAAATTAAAAGAAAAATGATGAAAAAAAACTAAAAAATTGTTAACATTTTTATACGTAAACACTTCCTGTCCAAATAATCACCTACCAGAAGATATAAATACATTTACGACTTACTTTCATCATTATTAACTAATTTCTAAAAAATAAAAAAAACGTAAAAAATAATAAATAAAAAAAAAACCTTTTATTGCGAGTAATACTTGCTAGATGTGAAGATTTATTACCAGGAGCAGCACATGCATCAATTATCATAGAACCCATTGGTGGATTTAAAATAAAAGCTGGCAAGCAACTAGCCTAATAAATTACATAAAAAGACTTACGATTTTGCAATTTTATTTAACAAAAAAAAATATGTTTTTCTGAAAACAAAATCAACACTTTAAAAAGTAATTTTTAGAAAGCCTTAAAAACAACAAAATATTCAGAAAGCATTAAATACAACCCTCTAACAACACTTTAACTAAAATTGGCAGAGCAACAAGTTAAATAGAGTACTACCAGGAAATTCTTTTCATTTACAAAGAAAGCACTCTATCACTACACCACTACTGCATTTATGGAAGGCAGTATTGGATGTATGGAAGACAGTATTGGATTTATGAAAAGCAGTATTTGATTTATGGAGAGCAGTATTGGATGTATGAAAGACAGTATTGGATTTATAAAAGACAGAATTAGACTTTTGATAATAAAAGATAAAAAAAAAAAATTCAATCTTATTTAAAAATAATAAAAAACAAATAAACCTTATCTTGCAATAGTATTTCGCCATTTATATACATCAAATTTTTATGAAAATCGGTTCTACTTTCAAAGACCAGTAAATCAGGGATATCTTTATCTACACAAAATTCATTTACACTGAGGTCGTTATACTTCTAAAATAAAAGTATAAAATAAGTTAGAATTTATAATACTATGAACAGTGAACACTCTATATAAGCAACTTATTTGAACCAATTTCAATAAAAAAAGTTTCTTATTCTGAAAAGTTGCTTATAGGGAAACAATAACAATAGGGAAATAATAAACAATAGGGAAAAAAGAAGTACAAAAATGTTTACTGTTTTTTTTTTTACTAAACTGTAAGTTTAGTAAAAGTATTTATTTTACTAACTAAACTGTGTACAGTAAATAAATTCAGTTTTGTTTTTTGAAAAAGAAAATATTTTATTATTATTACATCATATAAGCGTAGTTAATAATTTTATTAAGAAAAAATAAATAAAAAATCAAATTTTAATAAATCTTCGGTTTAGTACAGGACTAATTGCCAAAACAAACAAAAACAATTACACTATTTATTCATGATAGCTTTTTCTCTTATCTTTAGTAGCAAAAGAACCTCATTGCAGGGTATGTCATTGGACCGGGTGAATAAAAATGAGCAATTGCTCACAAGCAATTGCTCTGAGTAAAAGCTAAAAGCAAATGCTCGCCGTAATAGCAATTGCTCAAAAATGTGTGAATAAAGTTTTGCTAATGCTCGCAAGCAATTGCTTTTGTGTCGGAGTAAAAGCTATATGCCGTTGCGGATATAAGTAGCTTTTTTAACTTTTAATATTTAAAAAAGGCTTCTTCAAACCAGATTTTAATTGAATCAGGTGAAAATAATATAGCTAGCCAAAGTTTTAACAAATGTGAAGATGAAGTTTTTATAAACATACTGTGCGAATTGCCAATACTTCTACAAAAAAGCCAAGTTCCAAACGTTAAAATAAAGAAAAACAAAGCATTTTTAAAAATGCAAGACCAAATGTTCCAAGCAACAGGAACAAAAATTGATACAAAAACATTGGCGAAAAAGATTGCCACATGAAGACAAGGTTAAAAAAAAAGTCTGACATCCATCGAACTGGAAACAAGCCTATAAAACTTTCAGCGAGTGAAGTCAAACTTGCTAATCTTTTAGATACAGAAAAGAATCCTACCTTCACACAAATTGATGGTTAGTAAAGACAACTTTATTTATATATGTACATATTATTATTATTATTATTATTATTATTATTATATATATATATATATATATATATATATATATATATATATATATATATATATATATATATATATATATATATATATATACAGTATATATATATATATATATATATATATATATATATATATATATATATATATATATATATATATATATATATATATATATATATACATATATACATATATATATATATATATATATATATATATATATATATATACATATATACATATATATATATATATATATATATATATATATATATATATATATATATATATATATATATATATATATATATATATATATATATATGTATGTATATATATGTTGTTATATATATATATATATATATATATTTATATAAATACATTTAGGTATATGTATTTAGGTATAAGTTAATTTTTATGTTTCATTTTATTTCTTAAATGTCAGTTATAACTTATTTAAAAATATTTCTTAAATTTATAGCATAATATAATTATATTACCAAATAATGCATATTTTAATATCCTAATAATAAAGATTTACTACATAAAAATATTATTATATTAAGTCTATAACATATTATAACTGTGAATAAGATATTAAGTCATAAACATATTATAACTGACATTTGAGAAACTTTTGTATGTTTTACTGTAAATAAAACTTGAAAATGTTAGCACATCTTAAAAATTCTTTAAATTAGTTATTTATCTTAGAAAACTTTGAAAGTATATTTTTTATAACATAAACAATACAATAAATTAAAAAATTATGTTGTTTTCAATTTGTTACAAATAAAAAGACTTTGCACTTAATTTAAAAGACATTGTCTCTTTATTTAATATTACCAATGCACTATAATTTCTACGCTGCTGACCAAGTAAACGAAGTTTCTTCAAATTACAGGAACAATTTCTTCCACATTTTTATCCTCGAAAATTGTTAAAAGTTTTTGCAATATTGTGCAGTATAAAGTTCGCAGTGATACATGTAGCAATCATCTTCAGCTTAATTTTTACCTATAAATTATCACACCGCAGATACTGTTGAATCAACAGTAACTGTATAACAACAGGAATGCGGAATCCCAAAAAGGACTACGGATATGAAAGGCACAAAAAGATTATTTCTTCCTTGTTTTTGGTTTCTAGGAGCTCTAAAAATATTAATAAGTTTATGGACTACTAATAGGAATAAAATTAAGACATTTAGGTAAGGAACAATAATATTTTGAACCTGGAGTCAAGGACTTCGGGCTTAAAAACAATAAGTTTCAAGTCATTAAATCTCGCGAATGTTTTACTTATAGCAAATCGTAAGTCAACAAACATGTTTTGAGCTTCTGGACACTACAGACTTGGAAAAATAGAAATATAAAGCCGGAGTCCTTTTGGGACTTCGCATCCCTGCTGTTGATTGAATCAAACACTTTTCTATTATTAAGCTCTTCAGCAAATTCTCCATAGGGTTTATCAATTCTTGCATGGGTGCAATCAATAGCTCCTATTGTACAGGAATAGCCTCTTTCGTTTGCCCATTCCAGTTTTGCTCTTAAAATTTGTTCTTCCGTATGTAAACTATATAATGAAAAGTCTTAATCAAAATTTTTTGAAGCGTCAAAGAGATTAAAACAGTATTGCTAAAATTATATTCCAAAAAAATAAATGTATCAAAAACATGCTAGTATAATTATAAATAAATGCATAATGTAAAAACATATAGATATATACATCAATAGTCAAAAAATAGTAAAATATATAGGTAATATAACAAAAATCAATGTCCGATTATCAAAAAAAAAAAAAAAAAAAGCAACTATTATAGGTGCTCGTAAATTTAGAAGCAATTGCTCGCCGTTTTTTGAGTTGAAGCTGTTTTATTCACGCGCTTTTCTCATATGTGAGCAATTGCTAAACATTTGAGCAAAAGCTCATGAGTAAAAGCTTTCGCGATAAAAAGAGCAATTGCTCAAAATTTTTATTCACGTAAAGTTGAGCAATTACTCCAAAAACGCTGAGTAAAAGCAATTGCTCTTTTTTATTCACCTGGCCTATTGTCTTTTGCACATTCTATCATCAAATTGAAAGAATTTACTTTATAAATTTTACTAATTTGATGTTTTTATTGGAGTCATCCAACGTTTTTTCATTTTTTTAACAGGAGTAGTTTCACTTTCTACTTCATAATTTTCTTCAAGGTTAAATGGATGAATTCCTCAGCTCATTCCATTGTTCACTCCATAATTTCAGTATCTAAGTAAATATTCAGTAGCTAAATTACAATAATTAAATGTTGAATTATACAATCTTGCCAATGGAATATCATCTTCTTCTGAAAAGTGATAGAAAGGAATGTTGTATTGAAATTCATCACTTGGCGAAAAAAGATGTTTAAATGAATTTTGTATAACTGCCACGGGAATTTCATATTGTGTCTGCACCACTAAATAAATAAATCTTTCAAATTTATATTTTTCAGTGCTAACACTATTTTATCTTCTGCATCTAAAGCTACAAGATATCCAAGTAAATGTTTGTGATAGCGTTGTTTTAGTGATTTTATCACATTTTGATCTAGTAGTTGCAATAATGGTATGTTATTATTAAGTGTTATTAAGGGGAAAAACATAACCTTAAAATTTGGTGTATCAGTAAAATATTCTTAGACCCATGGCAAGTTGCACTATCTACTGAGAGAAGGGCTTTTATGAGAAGGTTTTTAGTTTCCAAGTGTAGAGTTACTGGAGGTATGAATATATCATTATACCAGTCATTAAAAAGTGTGCAAGTTTGTCAAGCATTTTTAGATGATTTGTAATATACTGGCAATTTCATATTTTTGAAGCAACAAAAAGATTTTGATTTCCCTCTCATCATCAAATCTAATTTATGTAGCGTTTGTACCTGTAGCGTTTATGTATACCTGTAGCGTTTATGTATACCTGTAGCGCTTACGCATGGCATACCAGAATTTTTTATAATTTGAGTTTATGTTGTTGTGAACAGCTGGTTTTACTTCTGAATTAGCCTAAACTTAAGTCCAACATTTAGCTTTAGAAAAATAAGTTACTTAAACAGAACAGTTGAACTAAAAAAAGTTGCTTGTATAGAGGTTGCTTATAAAGAATGTTGCTTATAGAGAGGTTGCTTATATAGAGCATTCACTGTATTATGAATTATATATAATTTATCTTGATTATGTAAGTAATGTGGCTTTAGGTATTTACTGCTAATTTAGCTCCACATAAAACTACATTGATGATTTCATACTAAATTGTGATAAGAAGAATTAAACAAATATCTTTTACTAAAAACATGAGTTCAGTGTTTACACTGCATTAAAATAAGTTGTTTTACTTTTTATTTATTTGTTTATTCTTTATATGTAATCAATAAATATAAAGTATGGCTACCAGTTATTTTTTATTACGACACATTAATTTAAACTAATATAAAACTAATATAACTAACATATATATATATATATACATATATATATATATATATATATATATATATATATATATATATATATATATATATATACATATATATATATATATATATATATATATATATATATATATATATATATATATATATATATATATATATATATATATATATATATATATATAGTGTAAATATATAGTACATATATTGAACATACATACTAATTTTTAATTTTAACTACATACATTAGGGTTGTTCAAAAAAACTGAAATTGTTACAATACTTAGGTATTCTTATATTATATGATAGGGTGGTCCATAAAACAACTTTTTTGAGAAAAACCTGCTGACACCCCCTAAATGTGTTTTATCTAATGCAAAAACACTAGGTTTAAAATTTTTTTGAACAAAAATTATTTTTAGGGGTAGCTCAAGGCCCTCAAAAATTTGACGGGTCCCTAATATTTTGAAAAAAAAAACTTTTTCTAAAGTATGTCAACCTGGTACTCAAAAGAAGCGATATTGTATAAAAACTTCAAAAATAATAATCATTTTACATAAAAAACATGCCTAAAAAAAATTATTCTCAAAAAACCTGAAAATATTGACTTTTTTTATTTTCAGCTTAAAAACAATAGTTTTTATGCATTTATACCTAAAAAAATTATTTTTATAAAAAATTATTATCATTTTTAAATTTTTTATATAATTTTGCTTATTTTGAGTACCAGGTTGACATACTTTAGAAAAAGTTTTTTTTTCAAAATATTAGGGACCCGTCAAATTTTTGAGGGCCTTGAGCTACCCCTAAAAATAATTTTTGTTCAAAAAAATTTTAAACCTAGTGTTTTTGCATTAGATAAAACACATTTAGGGGGTGTCAGCAGGTTTTTCTC